AACAACCTGAAAAGAGTATGTGACAAGAAATAGTGTGTATCATCAAATGATCTGAAGCTCCTTGGGAGCAGCCTGTAACAAGATGGCATAAAGAAAGAGAGAGCTGCTTTTCTTCTATAGCCAGAAGAAACTCCACTCAGAATTTCTGTGTAAATTTGCCATCTATGCCCCACACACCACTCCTTTTTTTCCAGCAGCACAGGAGGAATGAGTGCTCAAACGTGCCACAGAACGCTCAAGTTTGCTTTAGCACTGTCAGGTGCCTCTTCTTTTCCCAACTCACGTCTAGGTATCTTGTATGGGGAGAATAACTAGAGGACTGATAGATATGGCAGAAATTTGAAATCAGCCTTTTCCACTTTAAGCTATAAGGGGAAAGCTCTTATATTGCTTTATTAAGTGCTTGGGCTATGTAAAAATTTAAGAGTCCTTAATGTTAAATTATTGCTGTCTGTTTGGGTTCAGTCGTGTATAACCAATGGCATGATGAATGATGACTTGGGCAACCTGCAAATTCAAATTTATAATGATTTTTGTGTCAACAGCATAGACAGTATCTTGTCAGCAAAATAAAGTGAAGTACAACTTTAAATTTATTGCATGCAGAAAGTACTGCAAGTGAGTATGGAAAATGGTAAAAATTGTTTCCCTAGTTAGCAAGGAAATGTTGTACTGCTCATTATTTGGTAATCGACCTTTTCCCCTTTTGTTAAATCTTGTTAAATATTGATATAAAGGCTTGGGAGAGGGGGAATAAGAGAATTTGGTGTGTCAGGCTAAACTTTTTTTCATGCGCTGGTGCACTCATTTTCTTACTGTTGCAGTTTAAACACGGGTTTCTGTTCCCCTCACTTGCCTCATTTCCTAGCAGTTGCTGCAGTTGCCAGTGGTAGCTTTCCCACCAGCTCTGCTCCTGCATCCCTTGATGTAGCTGAACTAATGATCCAAGGTTGCTATTCCTTCTCCAGATCCCCTTTGTTCTCCTCCAGAGAGAAAAATCAGGATGATTTTGAGGGAGGATCAGAATGAGAGAAGTGCTACTGAAAGAGAGGAACTGAAGCCTGAAATTGCTTGGAGTGGTAATGGCCAGGTACCAGCAGGAAAGGACCACCACTGTCTCCTTGCCAAGGAGGACAGTGGTTCCTCCACTGCTGTGTCACAACAGCAGGAGGGCACGGAGTGAGGAGGTCTTGTTTGTTTGCTTCCCTGTGTGACTGCAGCAGCCTCTCACAGCAGCAGTTCTGGTGCCAGAGCAGGTGAAGCACCGGGGATAAGTTCTAGGCTCTTGAACCTTGTGGAAGACTTGAAGCTCTGGCTGGTGCCTGCAAAATAGTGATGGGCTGGGCTGGGCAACATGTGCTGTCTCTTCTTTGCCGGACTCTGGAGAAGCATGCAGTCAGCAGCTTGTTTTAGGTTATAACCAAACACTTAGCACCGTGAGGTTTGTGGGAATTGATTGCTTTGTTTCATAACAAAAAAAAAAGTAACAAAAAACAACCCACATTACTCTTTTTACAACAACAGCAGCAGCAAACCAGTGTTTTGTTTAATTTTCTCTTAAGAGGGAAAGAATGTGAGCAGAAATATTGGCACTTCATGATGCTCTAATACCTATTGTGTGTGGGTGAAATGGCAAGGGGTGGTTACTGTGCCATTGGCACTTCATGATGCTGTAATACCTATTGTGTGTGTGTGAAATGGCAAGGGGTGGTTACTGTGCTCTTCACTGTTCCACATGAGGAACATCTGGAAAGAGCAATGCAAAAGATGACAGCACCTTGAGATAGTGAGCCTGGCAAAGAAGAGATGTTGTACATGTTATCTGTAGTATTACACATAATGGACAAAAGATGTTTCAGGATTCGTCTGAGTGACAGTTTAATGTACTGATTGCTTCTGTCTGACAACACTTCCTGTTCTTTTTCTTCCTTGTTTCTCTAAAGCTCCTTAAAATGATGTAAAATGAGTGTTTTCCATTTCTGTCAGGAGTTTTAAACCCACGTGTTTCTAGCACCACCCGCTGCTTTTAATCCTAATAGGATTTTTAACTGCTTTTGTATGTGCTTTATTTCCCCAGGATCTACTAACGTTTAAAAGAAAACCTTTATTAAGTAAATGGAAGATGGATTTCAGGTATATCCATCCATTTCTTTTGCTGAGTGTGTCTGATGTTTCCTGTGTAGATAGATCTTTTGGCTTCTGTTTAGTCTTAATGAGGAAACTGCTAAGTTGCTTTAAAACTTAGAAAGTGAGCAGTGAGTATTTTACGCAGTTGGCATTTTAATTCTGTGATAAAGTCCTTATGCAAGTGATAGAACTGCACAGTAATGAGAGGTCTGTCTTTAACAGGCTTTGCGCTCTTGTTGTTAACCATCAAAACAGTGAGAAACTACTTTCAGTGGCATTGACTTTTAAAATCTTAAATTTGAGTCTTATGTTTGAATGTTTATTGGGATAAGAAACATTTAGGTGAACAGGTAGCATGAATAGGATAGCCGTGGGCTTCCAAGGTATCCTGAATGGCAACAAAGAGATGTCTGAAGCAAGAGAATAAATCTGAAATGATTGTCAGCCTGGATGTTTCAGGTGCAGATAGTGATGCCCAGGATTTATTTCTTTTTTCAGAGTATACAGCTTGTGAAGTATCCAGTGAGTGATCTTGCCAGGAGTGCTCAGGCATTTGTCACGGACTCTGACTGCTCTGCCAAGTTGTGACTCCTCTTGCTTCTCTCTGTCTGGTGGGAGCTGGCTTTTTACCCAGCTGGGGGAGGTTGTTGAGCCCTCACCACTCTTCTTTAGGTGCCACTACAACAAAGGTAATTTGTAGCAGTGGGGCAGTGGCTGCTAATTGCCTGTAGGGCAATAAAGAGGAAGCTTTGTGATGGAAACGATTTAGCTTTGTTGCAGTAATTAGATGAAAAGGTGAAATATAGAAGGGTTTTTTATTGCCTTTTCTAGTCTTCTTTTTCTGCTTGGATTAAAACAAGTGCAAGCTTGACACTGGTAGGTTGTAGGTCACGTTCCAGGCTCTCTGCCTGCCTTGTGTGATTTCAGCAGTCTTGTGTGACCTCTAAAATGGGTCATGGATTGCTCAGTGAGGGAGTAAGAAGGATTCAGTGTCACAGCAAGGGAGCAGAGGATGAAGTGAGTGAGTCATCCCCATTGTGTACTACAGCTGCCTCTCCCGCTCCTCTGTCTTTGGCATTGTGGCATGGTGTCACTGTGCAGTGCCAGAGATGGCAGTGCTGTTCTGTGTGCTGAGAGGTGTCAAGTCATCTCCTCCTTGCTCTGTGCAATCTCCTTGGGGTCAAGGAGCTCTGTTCCTGCTATTCATGTATGCTTCTGGAGAATGAGGTCCTGCCCAAGATGAATAAAACATGAAATAACTTAATCTTTCCTTCGCATTTTCATCCTTTGTTATTTTAATAGAGAAAATGGTAGCAGTCAGCTTAGCCTTAGCATGTGGAGATGAGCATCACTGATGTATAAGAAATGTCCTCTAGAGATCAGAAGGCAGAGAGAATGGAATGAATCATCAATATCCTGCAGAGAATTGAGATACAAGCAGCAGGGAAGAATGAAAGATAGAAGACCTATTCTTATAAACAGATTTTAGTAAACACCTAAGTTGCACAATCTCCTATTACAGATCAGTAGGTAAAGAGGAAACTTTGTTGAAGTAAACCTGCTTTTACAAAGCATTACAGAGTTAGGTCTGGTTTGGTTCTTTGGAGCAGGGTTTGGTATTTTTGGGGGAGGTTTTTTAATGGAATTACTTTTTTCTGGTGGAAAGTTGTTCTCCCAGAATATTTTGACTGCCTTTTTTTATCAAGTGTCTACAGGCTGTTTTACAGCAAGTCCTTTTCCAGAGCACGTTTTGAAATTAGCCTTCACTTATGCTGCCCTGACTGGAGAACCAGGCTTTCAGTTCAGAGTGTTTCTAGATAGAAGCACACACACACACAAAAAGATTGGGACGAACAGACAGGTTGCATTCTGGTTTTGATTCACAGACACTTAAAGCTGTTAATCATAGAATCATTTAGATTGGAAAGGGCCTTTAAGAACATTGAATCCAAATGCTAGCCCAGCACTGCCAAGTCCACCACTACATCATGTCCCCAGGTGCCACAGGCACACATCTTTTAAATATCTCCAGGGATGGCAACTCAACCATTTCCCTGAACAGCCTCTTCCAATGCCTGACTGCCTATTTGGACATTAAGAAAAATTTCCTCACCTATCTAAACCTCCCCTGGTGCAACTTGAAGCTGTTTCTTCTCATCCTGTCACTTGTTACCTGGGAGAAGAGATCAACCCCCACCTCACTACAACTTCCTTTCAGGTAGTTGTAGACTGGTAAGGTCACCCCTGAGTCTCCTTTTCTCCAGGCTAAACACCCCCAGTGCTCTCAGCTTCTCCCCATTAGACTTGTGCTCCAGACCCTCCACCAGCTTTGTTGCCCTTCTCTGGACGCAGTCCAGCACCTCAATGTCTTGTAGTGAGGGGCTCAAAAGTGAACACAGGATTGGAGGTGCAGCCTCATCAGTGCCAAGTACAGATTTAAATAACTACTAAAACCGTTCTTTGTTTCTTACTTGTTTGTCATGGACAGAACCTGTAGAGATCTGATTTATTCCAGAAACACTAAACCATAAGTTTACCACTACTGCCTGTACTGTGGTCTGTATATGGTGATGTGGTATATTACTGCCTACTTTCTTTGTCAGCTGGCAGCATTCAATCTAGCATTTTACATACTAGACAGAAATAATGTCATGTTTTCCAGTATTGCAGCTAAAGCAAACTTCTAAAGCAATTTTCTTGTAACTTCGAATATCTTGCTTGTTATTGTTTTGATTAGTGTGGTATGCAATGTTTTAAATTTACTTTAAATGTCTTAAAAAGCAGCATGTTTGTTTCTCCTCTGGTCCCACACAAAAACCAAGGAATGGGATTTTTTTTTTCCCGACTTACTCACAGGTGGACACAAGCTGTTTGTGTTCCAGCAGTTCACCTGCACATGACTGCAGCCACCATGCAAGTCAGCCAGAAAGACTTCGAAAAGGCTCAAGAACAACTGAAGCTTTTGAAAAAGGATCCTGGGAATGAAACTAAGTTGAAGCTTTATGGTCTGTTTAAGCAGGTAGGCTTGATTTATTTTGTTTTGTAAGGAGCATCTATAATCTGAGGGGATGGAGCTGTAAAACACTTACTTGAAACAGAGACTGTTCAAATGTATTGTGTCTTAACTAGCTCTTCATTTCAAGTGCTGAAATTCTGTTCTTGAAATGCCAGCCCCTCAAACTCTACCTGAATTATGAGGGAAGCCAAACCTGTCTTTTCTTATAAATCATGCTTTGAATAGAAACCTTTATTCAAAGAAATAGAGACAAATTACATCCATTGTGTGATGCCTTCCCTATAATATAGCATATATTGATTCAGCTTTGGAAAACAGCTTATACCTGCCTAGGAAGAAAGAGTATGCTGCATGATTCCTCTTAACTTTGTTGTATCTACAGTCAGCTGGGCCTATAATATAATGGTGTTGACATGTTCTTTTTTTATTTTTCTTTTGGTATGGTCATTGTAGGTTTTGTTTGGGTTGGTTGGTTTCTTTGTTTTAAATTCAAGAAACTGTTTCTCCTCACTTTGAGTGAAGGTTGTTCTTCACCACAGCATGGAAGGAGACCTTTGTAGAAATAACTAGAAGTCCATAGCAGGATTTGTATTGGTATTTGGGCAAGTATTTGTCAATCAAGGTTGACTGCAGGGTCAGTACAGCCTGTGGATTGTTATATTGAAGAAAGTAGCTCCTGTAAATAAAAACTTAAAGACCCCTGACAGTTCCAGGTTACTTTACTAATTAATAATAGTGAGCTCATAAAGCTATTCTCTCTTTCCTGCCTCCCACTTGAAATATTTCTCTCTGATAGTGTGTATTTCTTCAGGAATACTCATAGAATACTGCAGGAGAGCTCAGACTCTTGCAGTTCAGCTGGTCCAGCACCCTTGCTCAGAGTAGGGCCAACCTTGAAATTAGATCCAACTTAATAGATCCTGTTCAATGGTCTTGTCACACAGCTAACAAGTCTTTAGCATTCCATTTTAAGGAAAGGTAAACCTTGTGGTTTGAGATAAGAACAGTTTGCTAGTTGAAATAAAGCATAATAATGCTAACAGTTTTTGAGGTAGGAGAACTTAGCATACACAGGTGTTTTGGAAACCAGTGTCTCATACTGGTTAGGTGCTTCTGAAAGCTAGGCATTAGAAAATAGCAGACACTGAAGACTTCATGGTATGTTAACTGTCTGAATATTGTCCAACCATTAGGTATTCCCTCTGTCTCTGAGTTAAATTCTGTATCCTGATCAGATAAATATTCCAAACAGTCATCATCTTTTCTACCAAGGCATCTGAAATTTAATCAAGAGTTTAAATGAGTTTGTTTCACTTTTTTTTTCAGGCTACTGAAGGTCCCTGCAATGCTCCAAAACCAGGTATGCTGGACTTTGTCAAGAAAGCTAAGTGGGATGCATGGAATTCTCTTGGCAATTTGTCACAGGTGACAAGACCTAAAATTTCACTTAGATGCTTTGTAGATTACCTTGAAGTGCCTGGTCTGTAAGTGAATGACTGATGTCTAAAAATACTACATGCTACTTGAGTGACTCTGCTTCAGCCATCATAATGTTTTGCACTGAATTCCTCAATCATCTCACTGCTTCAATGTTTTTTTTAGTGTGAAAACCTAGTTCTACATTATTACTACCAGCTTGTATCAGTGTAAGAGATCTTACACGTGGTGATTTCCAATAAAAATAGTGGTTTTCACATTATGATCTATTCTGTTGTTCTCTTTAAGAAAGATGGACTGAGCTTCTCCGTTCTTGCACCAAAACCCAAATCTCTAAATCCAACATATTGATAGCTTTATCATTTTTAAAAGTCAGTCTCTTATGCTGTTGACTAAAAGACCAGGAAAAAAACGGTATATTGAGAGCCTCTCTTTATTCTTTCTTTCTTTCTTGGTATATCTTGACATCTTTAATGCCTTTCATAACCTTTAGAGAAGTCAAGTGAAGCAAGCAGAAAGAATAAAGATGCAGAGATAAATAAGCCTTCCTTTTTCATGCAGACTGTAGTAGGTCTGACATTGCATATAGCTGCCACAGTTTCTTCAGCTGCAATTAAGTGAAGGCAGCAAGGTTTTCAAATGAGCTGTGTCACTGCTGCATTGGGCCTGCTGTTCAGGAGTATTTGCTGAGATTGGGTGTGTTTTGATCTTTGTTTAGCTTGTGGGCTTTTTGGGTTATTTTTGAGATGGCTCTACAGCTTTTGGGAATAGTCAAGAAGCACTTAAGGAAAAGAATCTGCTCTTGAAGTTAGAGTGGAGAGTGGATAGACAATTTAATATGATACAGATTATGGATTATAAAATTGCTCAAGGTATATTATCCTTTCAAGAAAACAGGTTTTAACAACCAAGAACTTAAAATTCCTTTAAATCACTGTTTATTATAGAAATAGGGAGACAGGATTCTTTAGGCTTTTGTGTGCCATGTTAGAGCTGAATGGAACTAGTGTCTTCAAGCAATTTTAAAATGCCATAAGACGCATTTCAACACTCCTATTTTCCGTAACACATACTCTAAAATAAAAACTTTTGTTGGAGAAATGTTCAACTGGAAAGGAGAAACAAAGGATCCATAGAAATGTGTAAATGCTGGGAATATGACAAAGGTCTCTCTGATAATCTTAGGCATGGATGGGGGCACTTCTCCCGCAAAATAAATGTCATCATCCCAGCATCTATGCACTTATATTTTGTGGATCTATGGCTGCTGCTTTCTAGATGACTTTAAGCACATTCTGCGGTCTTTAAATATGTTTCCTTTCTCATCCTCCTAATTAGAATGGTTTGCAATTGAGATTTTTTTTCTTTTGTCCTAAAGCACAGTCACCTTCCCCCCACTCCCCAGGTACCCATTTTATTAATACTGTATCTGATTTCCATTTCGGCCTTTCATAAACTTGTATATTTTCTTTTTTTCTCTTTTTTTTTTTCTTTTTTTCTCTCTCCTTTTCCTTGCCTTGCCTTGTCCTTGCCCTTGCCTTGCCCTTGTCATTTCCTTTCTACAGAATGATGCCAGACAGAAATATGCTGAACTTGTCTCAAGCCTGGTCTCTGCAGAATCTGCTAGCCAGAAGACAGATGCTTCTCCAAAAGAGGGCAGACATGATGGCTATGAAACATTAATAGTTACCACCAAAAACAATATCACAAAGATAATGTTTAACCGACCTGACAGGAAAAATGCCATCAACCATCAGGTAAAGAAATTAACTTGGGAGAATTAATGATTTCTTTCTTTCCTGGGTAAACTACTGAAATTTTAAAAGAATCCTTGCTACAGGTTTAGCAGAACTGACTGAAGCATGGTGGTCTGAATTTTATGAGGTGTTAGTATGTTGCTCCAGTGATAACCTGAGGAGTAAACATCCAGTACAAAACTAAATAATTCAGCTAAAATTCTACAGATTGGACTTTTTTGCCTCATTTTTTCTTTCAAGCTTAATAGAGAATTATGGTCTGCTCTAAACCAAAACAGCTGAAATAATTCTACAGATTGGACTTTTTTGCGTCATTTTTTCTTTCAAACTTAATAGAGGATTATGGTCTGCTCTAAACCAAAACAGCAAACTGCAGGAAGACTAGTCTGTTTTGTGGGTACAAGATTTGACTGTAACCCTATGTATAATGAAGCAATTTTGCTGCCTACTTTGGCTCAGCATGTATGTCTAGGTAATCTTCCATTTCCCTTAGCTGTCTTCATGAGTAAGTCCTGTTGGAAGCATCATGATCATCCTGGGTCACAGCTGCAAAGGTCTTCACATCACTGCTGCTAATTCTTTAGTATGTTATTCTGCCCACTTTAACTGTTTCTCACGTTTAAGGATCAGCTGTTTCCAGTCAGTGTTTGTTTTCCAAAGGACCTAATTTTGGCCTTTAGATTTGCACTGGAATATTTGAATTTTAATATTGCAAGCATTTGTCTTTATGGTCAGAAGTACCTCACATGTAACACTGAACCTTGTGTGCATGCAGAATTTTTCAGTACTGAAAAGAAGCATAATTGATCTGTCTCTCAAGTTCCTTCTTGTCAGTGCCAATCTCATTTTAAAGTTTTTTTGCAGCATCAAATGTGTATTTACAGAATTTTTCAATACTGAAAAGAACCATAATTGATCTGTCTCTTATGTTCCTTCTTGTCGCTGCCAATCTCATTTTAAGGTTTTTTTGCAGCATCAAATGTGTATTTTGTTGATTTTCCTTTTATGCAGATGTACAGAGAAATTATCAAAGCACTTGAAGAAGCTGGAAAAAATGATTCTACCATAGCAGTTATTACTGGTATGTTTTATATTATACCAAAGTGTAGCACTGACATGAACTATTTACCTGTATTTAGACTAAGATAGAATTGTATAAGTGAGGAAATTTTTTCCTTTATTACAGACCAAAGATTTTCTAGAGTGTTTTGGCAAATTTTCGTCAAGGAGGTGTTTCAAGTTCTTTAGCAAGCTTGCTGCTAAAACAAACCATCTTTCTTATATGAGAGGATGGACATGGGACACTCCTAAGTTAAAACAAACCATCTTTCTTAGAAGAGAGGATGGACATGGGACACTCCTAAGAGCTTTATTACTTTTGAGTAGATAATATATTTTCTCTGCAGCATCTTCATAACTGCTTATGATGTTCGTTGGTATGGATTTAGTCAATTTTCTCTACCTCTGTGGTACACTGGAACACACTAAAAACAGGCCTCTGAAATCCTGCAGTGGCACAGCCAGTAGAAAGTTTACACTGCATATTTACTGATGATCATGAGAAAAAAATTGATATTTTATGTTGATTTTTATTTTTTATTTTTTTTTTTTTTTTTAAATGTGGGAAAGGATTGGCCAGGTAATCTGCAACCTGGCCCAGCAGTATACACCCCAGTCACCAGATGTGTGCAGCTGGATGACTGCAGCAGTAGCATTGAAAGGGCAGCCCAAACCCATGCTGCCTGTGAAGTCTAGGTCCTCTGGGGACACCTCCTTTGGGTTCTCTAGAGGACCCTTTGGTCTGTCTCTTGCACAGACCGAACGGCACAGTGGCAGGGACAGGTGGGAGGGACAGAGAGGTGGAGGGCAGGCATTGTCTATCTCTGCTATCCTCATTACTTGTCTGTTTAGGAAAGTAGCCAAAACTTGAGCTTTGGCTGGCAGCTAGGTAGTATGGATGCAAGGTGAATTTGGGCTTAAGCTCATTTACTTGTTTCCTTCTGCAGTAATTGGATGCATATTCTTTTCCACTGTGTGCTTTACCAATACTGTGTTCCCATTGCCAGGCTGCTGGATTTCCTCTCAGTGGCGATGGCTGGGCACAACAGCCCTTACAAAATAAGAGGGGTGGTTCACACAGCTGGAATGTCTAACACATGTATAGCTAGTAGTAAATAGCAAACACCTCTGCACAAACCTTTCTGTTTGGTTTCACGTAGTGAGTAAGAGCACTGCAGTGTAAGGTAATGGATGTGCCAACCAGTGAAAGGTCCCATCCTGTGAATGTCCTCATGGAACATAGCATGATTTAGACAATTAACTCATGCAGTCTGGCTTCTAAGTGCTCCTTGCTTTTTTGGTGGCACCTCAGACTGACTTACAGATTCACTAACAGGTTATCTGTTTCTTACTGAAAAATCCATGTTGCAGTCCAATGATTTCAATGCAGTGCTGACTGTTTTTCAGCAAATTGTCAGTCAGAACTGATTTTTAAACTGCAGATGCCCTTTAAGATAGTCTGTATACCTTGAGAAAATCCCTCCATTTGCTTAATAATGTTTGATACTTAGGATGAAATTCTTTTGTGAGTGTAATAAATGAAAGCTTCTCTTCTTTTACCTACTCAGAAACCATTGGTGCGTTTACTCGTATGTGTTCTCTGCAGGAAATGGAGACTACTATAGTAGCGGAAATGATCTGAATAATTTTGCCAACGTCCAACCTGGTGAAATGGAGAAGATGGCAAAAGATGGAGCAGTATTACTCAAGTAGAACATCTTGGTTTCATATATGCATAAGTTACTGTAATGGGTAAAATGTAATTTGCAGGCGTTGTTAGAAAACAGTGGGACCTATTACACTATGATTCATCCATTTGGATCACTGTGTCTAAGGGCTCACTATGTGCATAAACACAGTGATCATGTGGGAGGAAGTAGTATTAATTGTATGAAATAAATGAGATTAATGTTAGAAGTCTTTTTAAGTACAGTGATGCTAAGGACTTGATTTTATTTTTTAGTCCCCAAAGTACATGCTGACATCATGGCAAAACCATTGTTTTAATTGTGCATGAAAAAAATTGGGGGGTTTTGATATCAAACAGTGTCTACAGTAGCAGGATATTCCAACATACCTTCACTGTCAGACTTCTTTGAATAGACCAGGTGTAATGAACTTGTTCAAAATTGCTCAGGAATTCTGAGATCTTTGTTCCATATTTGTCTGAATTTACCTGCTAAACTGATGTATTTCTTAAGACCAAGGAGATCAGGGGTATCATCTGACACAGGGGCTGAAATGGCTTTTTTGGGGGCAAACATGTTTGTTTCTTCCCTGCGTAAGCAGATTTTGCCTTCTCTTTTATTTCTGTATGTAATGATGGCATCTGAGAGATGCTTTCAAGTTGGATTGTTTCCTCAGGCACTTGCAATTGATGAAAAAGCTAAAATACACAGAAACCCAATGTTTTTGATTTATATTTTGAAGATGAACCTCAAGTCAAGTACTCGGTTTTGTAGCTTTTACTTAGGCAAGTTGCCCCTTGAAATGATGCAGTGTGAACCTGTTGTGAAGATGTTCCTCAGTGGTACCTGGCAGGTGTTCCAGCCTGCAGTGTTCTGTAGGGTGTTCAACACAGTGCAGCCTCACATGTGCTTTATGGTCTTTAATCTTGTTCTCGTGGGAAGATTCTACTTGCTGTGCTGCTACTATTGCACAAACTCAGTATTTCATTACAACTCCTGCACAGAAGTGCCAGAGAAGTGGAGTTCTTACAGCACTGCTCACTTTTGGAAAATCTTTCATTTTTGAGAATGTATTTTGCGCTTCTTGGCTGGAGAAGTAGCTGCCAAATGAAACAAGATGCTATTTTCTCAAACCCGTGTAGGAGAGCACGAGGGAATCCTGTATTGTGGTAGCATCACGATTTTGGTGCCTGTTGGGGCTTCACTGCAGAACAGAATCTGTGAAGGAAAGGGCTATCCCATGGGTGGAATTGGGATGGATGTACAGGCAGAAGACTGTTCTGTTTCTTGTAAGCTGTATTCAGTAACTGTAGCTGAAGAGGGAAACACTGGCAGAACTTGAGTGCAGGAACTAGGAAAGCACTGCTGACATGTATGTGCTTGATTCTTAATTGCTAAGGAAATGCAAGTGTTTCAAATTGTTCTTATTTTGTCAGAGTTCACTTGGGAAAAGATCAAAAATACATGCTCCATAGATTCTATCTAGCTCATAGGTTTTGTTATGTAGTATCTAATCAAGTGTTTTGAAAGTTGTTTTTATTGGATGTAAAACACTTGAGGTGTCTCTTACGTTTTCTGTTTTTCCTTCTCTCTAGAGACTTTGTGGGTCACTTTATTGATTTTCCTAAACCACTGATTGCAGTGGTAAATGGCCCAGCCATTGGAATCTGTGTAACAGTCCTTGGGTTGTGTGACGTTGTCTATGCTTCTGACAGGGTAAGTGCATTGCACAGCTTGTCCCAAGGCAGTCTTTAAGCCTCTTTCTGTAGCAAGTATTATTTGGTTTGGGGCAATCTGAGAGAAAAGAACACTTTAGAAAAGTCTAAAGGCTTTTTATATCACATCAAGGAACTCCTACATTAATTACGAGCACAGGGGTGCATCAGCCAATAGTTAACATGTGTGAAATTTCCCTGCTGTAGTTATGGTTGTCAAGTTACTGACTTCAGTTTTGAAGCTCTTTCCTAAGAGTAGCTGATGTGGAATCATGTTTGTAAGGCCCCTTTCAGGTGTGGGAGGGGGAGCAGAAGTTTATTATGGGAATGGGAGTTCCATAACTGGCATTTTATCTAATCCATGTTCCAAGGCGACTTTGGAAGAGTTTTTTATTCAGCTTGAGATTTCTTTTAAGGTAACTTGCCAAGTGCATAACCAAAAGCTATATCAAGGTATAGCACAGAATCCCATCATAGGGCTTATTTTTTTGTGTTCTCTGCTGTTCATTGGTATAAGGTTATTGCACAGATACAGAACTTAATCCAAGGTCTTAATTAATTTTAGGCAAGCATTTGCTTGCAGAACTGTCTGTCATGGGTTGTAGTGTGACTCCTGCTTCAGCACTGTGTCAGATTTCCTCAAAGACCATGCTGGATTTCGTTTGCCACTATGAGACTTTGGAAAATTCAGCTGCAAGGGACCAACTCCTGCGTGCCCCGTTACAGGATCACTTATGGCCATGTCACTCCTGACATATGCTTGTAAAATGTGCATGGTTTATTCAGTCTGTTCTGGTCTGTCTCTTCTGTTACTACTACAGTGTTGGAATCTCCATCTTTCTCCCCTCCCATTGGATCTTTTTTTGCTACAGGGTGAACCTATTGTTTCTTATTCCTGAATTTAAAGAACAGATCATTTTCATCATCCCTTGCAATATTTGTAATTGTGCTTAGGCTGTTAGATTTATCTCAGGTTTACCTTCGCTCTCTGTCTTTTCTATTTTTGAGCTAAGTAGCTGTAAGTTGTTCAGCTTTTCCTCATGTGGCCTGCAGTCACATTCCTGTGGACTCCTTCCAGTTGTTCTGTGTCTCATTAAGCATAGTGGTACAAATTGGATGCATCACTTCAGCTCGTGCCTTATTGATGTGAAGTATCACATGATGTGGAGCAGAAGAACTTCTCCACGTTCTGCAGGCTGTATTTCTCTTTTGACATCCCATGATGTTATTTGATTTGCATACTTGTGATCTGATAAAACACCTGGATCCCTTTCTGTAAACTTGCTAGTAAAGCAGTTGTTCCTATTGTACCTCATATACTACCCTCCAAGTTATTCCTGACAACTTTAACTTGTCTGTATTAAGTAGTAGTATCTTCTTACTCATACCTCACTATTTTAAGACTATTTGCAATTCTAATCACTTCCCCTCAGGATACTATCTCCTTGCAGCCATAAGTTGGTATAGATTTAGCTGAAGTTTAATCCAAATAAGCACTAAATGTTTTGCCCTCTTAATATTGTCCTTCTTTCTTGAATGGCTTGAAATTCATGCTTGAACTTCTTTTTGCTGAGACAGTCTATTTGTACCTTCCTGTCTGCACTGGGAGAGCTTTTGCTTGTGCCCTTGGTAACAGTTCTGGGAGGATTTCTGTAGGGGCTAACCTAGCCTGTCACTTAGGTTATCCTTCATGACAATTTTACTATTAACTTCAAGTTAATTGAAGCTTTCTCAAAGGTGATTGTTGGGTGTTCTTCCCTTTCCAGGATTGTGAACTCCCATGCAGTAAGGTCATTCTCATCCAAATTACTGCTTTATTTCACATTCTCCAGTAGTTTGGCTGGAGTACCTCAGGCATTGACTACCTACTCTAGAAATGGCCAGATTTGCTGTATTCAGGACCCGGGTTTATTCTTAGCTAGGTATTCCCAGAACAGATCATTACCAGCCACACTGATAGGATGTTGCACAGCCCATTCTGACAGCAGGTCAGCATTTGGGTGGTCAGTTAACATTGCTTTCTGCACTGGGTTTTGCTCCAGTTCATGGGACACCAGTTTGTCTCCCAAAATATTTAATCTCACATTGCTTAAGCATGTCTAATACCAGCCTGCATCCTGGCAGGTGTTGTCTAACCTTTTATTACCATGTTCTAAATGTCACTTTCTTGCTAGCAAGTCTATTGATCTGTCTTACCATATGGCCTTCTGTAGTACAGCAAGAGATTCTTTTTTCATTGAAGCTCCACGAAGAAGATTCAAAACCTTCTATTTCAGTGAAAGCAGCTTTTGCACTCTCTCTGTGTCATTTCATGTTTTCAAAAGGAAATAAAGGCAAGCATTTTGTCATTCTTGCTTAAAGTTGATGTGAGTTGTCAAAACAGAATTCTGCTGTTCAGTTCTAGCTTGCAATCATGGTATTATTATGTGTGACCCCATGATGCATTTCTGGCACAGGCTGTTTTTAGATTTGCATAACATTTCAGGAAAGAGGATTCAGTGACTTGAATTTTTCAGGAGTAGTATGAACTTAGTGTGCCTTCAGAAAGGCAGAAATGCTTTTTTCCTCTTAAGTTATTCGGAATCTATATTTATTAACTTTTAGGGCAGATGTACATGAACATCCTTTCAATAAAGTTTTTTTTTTGCGCATTCTCTAAGTTTCTCTAGTTTCTCGTAGTTTCTCTAAGCGCTGTGTTCAAGTAATGTAACTTCATCATTGGGGTTGTTATGACAAAGGAATGGAATTATACAGACAGAGTCATCTCTGGAGTGCACCGAGAGGATGAAGCAGTTTAAAGCCTATTACAGTAACAGTTCAGAGGTATTTTTGGTGAACTCTGTCACAGTGGAAGCCTTAAAATGAAAACTAAATCCTAGTACTTTAATTCTGTGCTCTGTTGTAAGGTTTGCTTCATTTTGTTCTTTTCTTTTCACCCAGGCTACATTTCACAGCCCATTTAGTCAACTTGGACAGAGCCCAGAAGGATGTTCCTCTTACTTGTTTCCAAAAATCATGGGCTTAGCCAAGGTAAGAATGTCTGCACTGTCTGTGAGATCGTCTGACCTGTGTGTGTTGGTATCCTCTGACTGTAAGAGCAAGTGTGGTCTTCTGTCCATAGTCTTTATTTTCTGTGTCTACTCTAGAAATAAGGAAACTAAATAATAGTAATTAAATATATTAAAAAAAAAAAGAGAAATGGAGAGACAACAGAACCTAAATTCTCTTTTCTTAGAACAGCTTTACTCCTTTCTGCTTCCTTTGATATCCCACAGAAAAAAAATATGGATAGTTTTAAATACTTATCTGATATTGCATGCATTAATATAATGTATTTTTGTTGAGCAGGGTTTAAATCTGTAAGGAGCAGAGCAAGTGCTTCATAAACATCCAGGTATCAAGAGTAGTCTGTTCAGTGAGACATAGCCTGCCAGTGCATGTTCTAGAAATCTTGGAGTCACTTCAGAAGTGAACAAACACATTTATGATGAGGTAATTTCAGGTTACAACCTTGGAGCTCTGCTCAAAAAGACATGTACACTGGTAGTGAACAATAGGAACTATAGCCCAGGGGTTGATGCTGGGTGTAATACTTAGTTAACCTCTTCATTATGGCATGGATGATGGGACTGAGTATCCTGCTCGAGCAGGGCTTTGAAGCAGACAGTATCTGGAGGTTCCTTCCAACATCATTTTCTGTGTTCTTTTCAGAGGGCAGAAGTTAATGAGCAAGAGAGTAAAATAAATGTCATATGGAAGTGTGTAGCTTTCTTGTCAGATCACTCAAGCCTTGTGACTTGTTGAATCACACTCTCTACTTTCATTTATCTAGGCAAGTGAGATTTTGCTTTTCAATAAAAAGCTGACTGCAGCAGAAGCCTGTGCCTGGGGACTTGTGACTGAAGTCTTCCCTGACAGCAGTTTTCAGAAGGAAGTTTGGGCAAGATTAGAAGCTTATGCAAGCCTCCCCAAAAATGTCAGTATTTTAAATTTTTCTCTTGTCTTGTAAGCCTGTACCATTCCCAGTCCTCCTGCCAAACCTATCCTGTTACTTGGTTTCACTTCACACTTAATTGAAATTATGTGGATCAATGTATTTTTCTTCAAGCACAGATCTGCCCCTCTGCTCCTGGGAAACAGATACCTCTCTTCTAGTCTGTCTGCATCTAAGACAGTGCACTGTACACAGAGATTCAGTGGCTGAAAAGCCTTAAAAATGAGCTAATTAATCCACTTGCACAGTCTCTGTGAGTGCCTTGGATGCCTTCTCTTAGGTTTTTATTTTGGCAATAGTTAAAGTAGTTTGGTTCTACAACATTCATTTACTGTATGCACTCTGGGTGGTCAGGATGACACTAGATGGCTTTAATTTTTGCTGAATTCAGTCATTCTGCTCACTAGTTTAGGTTTTGTAAGACTGCTTTTGCAAGTCAAAAGTGGTATTATGTTCCACTGGACAGGAGGAAGCACCTGTGCCAGTTGCTGATAATGTGGGCTGCTTTTCCCACTGCAGACAGTTGAATGGGTTTCACTTCTTATGTTCTCTACTCTGATTATGAGCACTTAGTGGACTGCTGTTTTGCTTCCCATGAGCCTCTTCACCTTGTTAGCAGTCTGGGGAATTAAATGCAGCAAGAACTTCCAGCAGAACGTTTGGCTAAAAGCTAAGAGATGCAGTGTTAATACAACTGGCTTGTGATTCCAGTGCATTTTTGGTGCTATTTTCTGAAACTTTAAATAAAGGTACAGAAAACTTCACTTCCTAATGTTCCTCTCTTTCTCCCCCAGTCCTTGGCAGTGTCAAAGCAGCTGTTACGAAGTGTGGACAAGGAGAAGCTCCATGCAGTCAACAGTAAAGAGTGTGAAGTCCTGAAGGAGAGGTGGTTGTCTGACGAATGTATGAATGCTATTGTTAGCTTCTTTCAGAAGAAATCCAGACTCTGATCATCACCACTAGAATAATTCACCTTCTGGCAATAGCCTAATCTGCCTTCATTGTTAATAAACTTTATATTCAAATAATAATTCTTATACCTTTGTGCTGGGTTGAAACTGGTTCATAAAATTAATGCAGCATTATGTGCCTTGGATCCATTATGGATACTTGGATTGAGGAAAAAAGGGTTCATTATTCTGTAGGCATCAGTAATGTTTCCAAATAATACTGAAGCAGATTGTCTTCCAAAAGGAGCAACAGATTCAATAGCACCCTATTTTGGTAGCTCTTCAATAAATATCTTGCGAGTTATTCTTTTTATTCATCTGTATTAATGATACAATAAAGAGAAGTATTTAATTACTGCTGTGCTGATACTTATTCTTTCTGTAAAGCATCCTCAGTGAGAGGGAAAGTAGTTCCTGGGAAGCTTATTAATATAATAGTCTTACAAAAAGGTTTTCATTTGACTTTGTATTCATCTCAAATATGTTTGTTTTGAGCTTTATGGGTCTAATCTTCAATGTATTTTTCTATTAATTGCTTCATATGGCCCCTTTTCTCTGAAAAAGTGTGATGTGTTTGCTTTCCTCAAGGCAAAAAGAAACAGCAGAAACAGTTTCGTTGATCAGTTGATGCCAGCACACTTCTTACAGCAATGGGAGATGAACCATTACTCTCCATGAGTAATGAGAGTAAATCAACACTACCTGTATGGAATGGTTTCAGTTAACTTCTTGAAAACTTGAATCATTGTCTCAGGTCAGTTAGAAAGTTTGCTTCAGAAATTTTATATTCACAAAGCGTTTGTTCCTGGTTAGAATCTGTAGTAATTTAGACACATTTTAGTGTGTCTGGTATTAAGAACAACAGAGAAGTCTGATGAATCTCCAAACAATTTCTATTTACTCCACATAACAAAGTAACAACCTTAGATAATTTCTTCTGAAATACAGTCCCCTATTAATGATATTTATTATGATTAGATTATGAGGATTGCATCAAATGTTCCTGAATGTTCTTTATGTTCCCTTCCAAGGTATCACTGTTGGGTGATGGATGCTAATGAGGAGCTGATATCTATCAGTCAGCCACAAGTGAGTACAGGTGACAAGTGTCACTTGAAGGAGTGCCAGGCTGCCTGCAGGTCACAGCACTGCTGCAGAGGGGTTGCAGTGCAGTGTTTGTCCCTACACAAATCCTCCTGCAGTCCCTAAGCTTAGCACCATAGGCTGTTGTGCTGGTTTGAAAGCAAACCG